TAGCATAAACAGAATGAAAGCAGTTACACGCAGCTAAACCTACTAGCCTGGGATGAACGATGACATCAAAGCTGTTCTCGGTGTCAGTAAGCTGCTAAAATACCGACTTGTCCATTGTAATTATCCTGGTAAACACAAGCATAGTCCTGTTCTCGTGTAGATCTCGACTTTGGAAGTCCATTCAATGGAGTTTAATCTCTCGTCGTGGTCCAGTTCGAGATAGCTTGACTAACTTCAGCAACTGCTTCAACTGCTATCATCTTTGTACGACGCATTTTCAGTCAACAGTGGCTCCCAGAAACTCTTGTTTTGGACAATGATTTGCAGTTTGTTTCTTCAATGTTAGATAAAGTCTGCCTCCTACAGAATATTCAGGATCTTTAATTATCACTATACTATTCGAAATCCAACTAACAAATGGAAAGCTTTGTTGATACTTTCAAAAAACCCTTCCTGAGTGGATACACATACAGCTTTTATGGTGAACAAATTGAGTAGTTCGATTGCCATTCAAAGAAGTACAGTAATTAAGACGGATCACTGGGTTCATGAGTTCCATTTTGGAATCCTACCACTGCTTGGGTTCACATTATTTAATATCCTTTTTTTCAACCGCACTACCCTTCCTTAAATAGAAATTAAAAAAGAAAATAACAGATTAGTATTATTATCATGATTGTATATAAGTGTAATTTGTTTAGGGAGCACTGGTCTAAAGTTTTCTGTGCATTGGTCATAAAAATATGCAGAATGCCAAAGATGTCGGTCTGACTTTGTGAATCAATTATTCAATCAATTTGAATGTTTTAGTTGAATCGGTTAGATGATATTTCATCGGGATATCGCAACTATCCACATTTTAAACCAAAACAACAGAGTGGCGAACAAGCTCGTTTTCAGAGATTCGTATTCATGCCAATACATCTCAATATATATCACTACTTGGGAATAAAATTGTNACAATTTTATTCCCAAGTAGTGATATATATTGAGATGTATTGGCATGAATACGAATCTCTGAAAACGAGCTTGTTATCCACATTTTCTTGACTCATATTTCCAGCGTTCTAAAGAATGATTTTTCACTTTTTGAATTTTGTTTATTTGCGATGAATTTCATCCAGTGTTAGTAAAAATGGAAATAATTTTCGGACCAGTATGATCAGACACAAACACATTGGAAACCTTGATTCATTGAGATATAGCAGATGCATACGATAGGGGAAGCAATTGCGAAGAAATGCCTACTTGTCGTGATCCGTATCCATCAAACTTGATCGTTCCAACCAGAAGGGTACTCAACGAGTTTTATAGTACAGTCTGTCATAGTCATAGAGAAAATATGGTGTTTGTAGTTGTTACCATCTTTTTATGAATAACAAATAAAAAATTATTGAACTGAGTTTTGCTAATCTGAACTTGGCTTCTTTCCTATTCTATACAGGCAGGCATAATGCTTCAACCGCCATGCACCAGCTGGCCACCTTCTTTCTCAACCGTCTTTCCTTCCATGAATCAAGTGATCCGATCGAGCGGTTCGAAGCTGATGACCGATTGCGAGACTGCCACAACAAGTGCCACTCACAATAGATCGATGACGACAACAACGGCCACCGCGATGTCCGAAGATGGCCTCGTGACCAGTCAATCGTTGTTCGGGGCACAATTCTCCCGTCCGGATAAGATGGAGACACGGTCAACAAGTGGGTTTTCATCAACCCTAGGGACAATCAAAAAGACTGAATGCACATCGGGATCCGCAATGATTGAGACGTCCGATACAGACACCACCGAAGTGAGTATGAGTTCATGCGCTTTGATTAAACAATACAGGATGCTCACATGAAACCAATTGTAAGAGTCATCCTATTTTGTGGATTTGTATACTTGTGGATTTGAACCGGGATAAAACCAGTGAAGATTCATGACCGATGCTCCCTACCACAGCTTGTACATGAACCATTGCAAGAGTTTGTACAGTATGAGTCAGTTTCGCTCAGATTTTGTTAGAGGTCAAACAGTGTCCGGTATTAAGATACATCAGATGTGATAACCACTGTTCGGTGAAGTCCAGTACGTCGGATGCCAGTGATGGATAAGGCCCTTATCGTGCCATGTTTACGTTTTTGCCTAGCTGCAAGGAGCCAGCTCGGAGAGCTCGATTGACCAGCGCGTCAGAATGATAACGCTCTAGTACTCGGGTTCGAATCCCATCGGGATTCAGTGGATATGCTCAACCGATGATTCCTGAGAAGGAAGAAACAGCTATACAACGAACACTTCGTAGATATCTCAGTGTTGAGTGATACAACGAAGTTGTATGTCGAATACACCTGCATTAAAAATCGATCCCACCCCTGATCATTTATTAGTTTGGTTTCTGTTGTAACCTGCAACGCGTGTCAATGGTTAGTTCTAATTGATACTGACAGAAAGTTGTAAGGGTTGATATTTAACAATTTAAGGTAGATCGCTTTGTCGCAACATACATAGGAGTCTGTAAAACTTGAGAGGATGGAACTGAGTGAGAGATTCAACCGGTTTGTTCATTCGCCACGGATCAGTCTGAGGCTTGTGTCATCGAAATAGGTATTAAACACTGCTGTAATGAACGAAAGACGAGACATGACAGTTCTTTAAAACAGTGGTTCGCGTGTTTTTGGTTTCTTGCACGGAAAGAAAGAAGTGAGTGTGATTATTAAAAGTAAAATAAATGCGATTGAGAATAAGAAAATAGAGCAAATGTAGAAAAACTAAATCCATCCATCAATCCATGTATCGGGCGTTGGTCTGTTTTGAATAACAAAAACAAAAAAGGACCNAAGGACCGGTTGCATCATTGATCAAACAGTGATTAGAACTAATAATTCAAACAGTCTATTGTCTCGCTGACACGTGGATCAGTTACTACCCTTCTCACTCGGTACTATAGTAAGCATAGTAACATGTGTCTCATCTATTCATTAGACAAACAACGACATGACATGCAGTCGTGCGATTGTGTGNNNGGTCGAATTCGTTTAAAAGAGTCATGCTCGTATGACTTTGCCAGCTAGTTGATTGACTATCGTTTGTACTTCCTGATAGGATAGATGTGTTTGTGAATCCGTCAAATGAATTCTTCACATTAAAGCTTGATACTCTGGGAAAGGCGCAGCCCCGTGAGAATGACACTTGCACAATGACGTCATCAATCAGCATGTGGTAACTGGTTCGTACTTTTCATCGTTTTGAACGAACAGTTCTGATGAAACAAAGCTTAAATGACAGTAGTGGCGGATTTTAATTAATTCTATCGTAGATTTCGTCGTGTACAGAGCAAATGAAGCTCGAATTGAAACGCTAGAAAGCACTGTACAGCTATTTAGACTTGATTTGGTCTCTTCAGCGTGCGAATCCATCCACCCAACTGGGGATTGAACTAGAAATCTTACAGGTGGAATGCAGGCATACAACTCGCTATAAAAGTGTGCGTACATTTTTGTGTAGATATTGATCATCAATTAAAATGGATCCGCTGCTCTCCTATCTTTCGGATGGGGGTGGAGGTAAGACGAGTGCTGATGTTGTTCCACACTGATTTGCAGGCCTACAAAAAGAACCGAGCAGCCACTTCGTCCTTGTTGGTGCGGGCATTTTAGTGGATAACTATTGGTTTGTATTCCTAGAGTGACTCAAACTATGCACTTTCGGTTTTATATCGAATCAAAACCCTGAGCTGAAGTTACAAAAGTCATACTTAAAACATAAAGCCAGCACGTTAATATTTTGGCTCCCAACCGGAAAGCTTACGGTCCCAGTCGGGGCAGTGCAAAAAACTAGTCCGCAATGCTGACCAGTTCCAGTCAGGACGAGCCAGTTGTCCATTACTCTTTGTCAGCTATCACACATGATTTTGAGTGAGGAACTTCCATCGAGTGGGACCTACGCATTCAGCGTACGATTTAGATCCGTGTATATACAAATTTTAGTGGTATTATCGGGGTGAGTTAATTGGAGTTTTGGTCATAATACCGATTTCACGGTTTAACACACACACACACACACACACACACACACAACACAGGCACTACCTCGCACTCGTTTGCCTTTCTGTTTGCATGCATTATTAACTTATATGACTGTTCAAAGAACAAACCCGGTCCGGTTAATATTTCATTTGGATTCCGCTTCGTTGTCTGTCACAAAAATCAATCTGTCATGCATTCAAGTATGGAATGCACACATATTGGGAATGCTTTGGTACATCACAATGTCACGTAATGAAAATGTTCTCCAAAGCAAAATTTTTCTGTTGTGCTCTTCTGTACAACACCCGTACCTGGCTCACACGTTCGTCATGCTATTTCGAAAGACATGCATGGGGAGTCATATTCGGCCAGAACTACTGTTCGTTAGTTGGCACAGATTTCTGACATCCCGGGTTTGTCGTGTGACTTAAATCTGTCTGTCCGTCTGTTTGTCTGTCTGTCTGTCTTCCGTGATCACTGTTCATTTTCCATCAGGTTTGCATGTGGTCAATCAAACAGATGCCGAATGCAAGATGAATTCATTGATCTGAAAGATGCCTCACGAATGCGCGGAGGATCAACTCCGTCCGCATTTGGCATCCCGTTGTTGTCTGCATGAAACCTGTTCACGGTTCATTGGGTCTGCGAAGATAGTGACTAACATCTGGGACCGGTAAGTGTGGCCAACTCCACAGGTTCACCCGGTTACTCGGTCATTCACAAACGACATGCAATCTTTCTTGATGTTGTTGCTACTGTTCCTATTGTTGTTTGAATAATGACTAAGGTTTGCGATCATCAAATTCTGTCGTGTTTTGAACAAACACTGTAGCAGCCAACTGGAAGCTCATCATTGCTGACTTGTGTGTATAAACCAACAGTAAAGTGATTCGGATTACGTCTTTTGATCTGTCACTCTGTATGTGGTAATGATAGTCTATTTCTCCATTGCGGAAACACCTGCGATGAATCTAAAGGTCGCTGTATGATTTTAAATTAATAGTTATTCAAAGTTTTTGATTTACCTGTTTGTTTGAGATTTCGAAAAATCAGCCTGTTATGTAACGCAATGCTCTTTATTTAAACGTGCAAGAATACTACAATCAAAGTGGTATGATCACTTTTAACTGCACTTGGATTGTTACATGCTGCTTATGAAAAATATGGACAAGCTTTTGTTCCATTCGGAATATGTAATCTAGAAAAAACTCGTGGTTGTTGAAACCCTATGTTCATGTTCAAAAGCTTGTGGAACTGCTTCGACAACGGATATCTCCGGGGATATTGATAGAGGTCGTCTAGGCAAGTTTTTAAAATCATAGAAATCAAGGTCCAAATAAAGAAGCCTTAATTCCCTTGGTCAGTAACACTCCTCAAGGGAGGTGTTGAGCCTGTTCCCAATGTGCAAACAGAACTCACCCCATGGCAGTCTATGGAAAGTTTACTGGATCCCGATGGGCCAAAGACTACCAAAGAAATGTGGCATGGAGTGAGTCACTTCATAAATGAATAAAGTCAGACTAAGAAGGTCGGAGAATTCGTAATATTAACTCTTTGGAGGACCAGACTGAACTCGGCAAAGTGCAATTATCGTCGTCATCGTTATGTGAGTCGGCATCCAAGTCCTGATTGTCATCACCGTGCAGTGTCATTCCTGGAGTTGAACTGCACTCTCCAGATAGGTACAACGAGCTAAGAGTATGTGTAGAAAGGGTAAAGTAATACGTTATTTGAAAATGCTGCATTAAGCCACAAATCACTAATTTATTACATCACTTACTACACGTGTGGTAATCACAAATATGAGTGGTAAGGTTTGTGCACGCCAGCATTTTCACACATACAAAAATGGAGTGAATTAAATGATTTACTGTTGTAACAACTAAAGCGGCAAAAGGACTGTTCAGTTGTTTGATCCCTGACTAAGAGCCTGTCATGAAACCGCGAATCTGCTGTTGCAGATTACATGTTTCGTTCTGCATAATCCGATCCACTCCCTGTCTATATCATTCTTCCAACAAACAACTCTGCTAAGTCCGGCACTGGTCTTATCGGTTTATAACATGGACATGGTGATATCCATGGTTGATGTTGATGATGATATCAATGGCCATACCGGTGGCTGCAGTTCAAAGTGCATACTTTTTAAGCGAAAGTACAACGGATACATCTAGACTACTTGGAGATAGGAATTCATCCCATTTTGTGTTTTTCATCACTTAAAGTTCACTACAAAGCTATGTTGAGAAATCAGAGCATCATGAACTGAGAATATGAAAACTTATCGCATCGATCCATGCCTCTCCTCCACCCACTAAATTGTTCTGGTTGGCTCTAGAGTTTCATTTAAGCTTTTGTGAGGAAACACCCAAGTGTCCGTAATCAAATGCTGAAAACCATCAACCTAGACAGAAACACACTGAATCTATAATGCATCGATAGACAGCTACTACTATAAGTGAACCATAGCATATTCTATTATCACTTGATAACTATTTCCCCGGTTGGTTTTCTCAAGTTCCCGGCAGAGAGGGTGGTGTAGTTCCGAAATGAAGCGAACAATTCAGTGGGTGATGTGTAGATTTAATCTTATCTTCGCGCCCCGGTCTGAGTAACGGTGGATTCAGAGAAAATGCTATTTCTATGCAATGCAAACCTCTGTGGTGACCGACGGAGCGCTCTATCGTCCTCTATGAGACTCGTCAACAGTGCGTACGTCTCTGGTGCGATTCTGTGTGGGAGTCAAAACCCTCACCTTTAAGCTACACGACTGACGTTCAATAACACTGTATGTCACATGAGATAGATTAACCATTTCCCAAAGAGTGAAACTCATACACCTGATGCTTGTGAACAATCGAGTGGATTAATCGAACCGCCTAACTCGAAAATGCTATTTAAGTGATGTCGGGTAACGGGAGATTTGTACGAATTAACCTCTCCCCACTCGTCAGAGTGAAGCAACCTGGATTCATTTAAGATTGATTTTTGAGTTGATTTATAACTGTTCATGAAATTCCAAGTTTTATCACCTCAGTTCACGGACCCGAACCCGCCCACCTCCCTCATCCCACAATCTCTCCCCTAAACAAGAGAGTGTGGTTGCTACCTTGATTCTTTTGTGTTCTGTGTACCAGTAACCGCAACACCTAATTCACATGATTAGACCATTCCTCGGACAGGTTAATATCTCTTCTAGGTCAACTGTGTTGAGATTGCGTGTCAAAAGAAGTATCAGGGCTCTCGGATGTGTGTGTTGTGTCGAATCTACAGGTCTTTGAACTCAGTTACTAAGGTCTAATGTGACCAGATCAGAGAAACACGCACCAAACAGTGGGACCCAACACACCTATCTCGCGGTAAAGACAAACGAAGGTCCACCATATTGAGTTTAATGAGCCGAAATTCCACTGTCCATTCAAGCTGCTAGAAAGTGTGTTCTGATAGCGCGCAAACCAATCAACAGATCGGTTGGATTTATTCCCGTTTATTCAGTTGTCAGTTGTGAATACGTGAAATGGGACTGCGGGTTCGAATAAAAAAGGTGAGAGTCGTGCTTGCTTGTTCCCAGGGATGGGAGGGGGATAATGGAAGCAGCTCAAATGCATTAAGTGAACGCGCGCGCTCATTGGGACAAATACCAGATATCTGATCGATGGATGGTGGACTGAGTAAACTCGAAAAAATCTGTTGATAGTGTTGTTTCGCGAACTGATTGAAATTGTTTCATTCCTTCACCCCCCCTCCCCGCTCCAGTTCCGCAACACCATCATCAGGGCCTTCCCATGCACATCGTAACAAAGACCATCTGACAGACTGTTTTNGCCTCTTCTCAGAGTGCGATACGAATCACACACACAGAAACAGAGTTCACCGTATTTTGCAGTCAGTTTTGGCACGGGTTTCCCCAAACAAAACTGGACAATAGGCCTAGGTTATCCCCTCTCACTGAATCGATAACGGAGTGGGTGGGGCTGGGGTGAGGATGGTGAAAATGAGTTTGTGTGTGTGTGTNGGCAATGAACGAATAGTGTTGGCAATACGCTATCATCAAATGAACAAGTCACACGTTCCTCCAGGTTGCAATCACACAGAGACACCGGCCGGTGTTTGGGGTTGGATAACCCATCCTTTATTACCCCAACCTCTAGGTTACTTCTTGTGAGTCAAACCAGTGAGTCCGCAACCAGCTCGTTTCGATACAGTTCAAACTACATTACAGAACAATCCTAACAGAGACTGCTTTGATATTTGTTTTAAAAATAAAACACAACGATGAAGTGGTTGTATAGCTAAATATCTATCTAAAGCACCATCACGAAACTGCAACGTGAGTGAACTTGTTATTGATCGGTGACTTCTTAGGTAGCATTGTTGTAGGGAGCAGTGACTCAAGGACCGAATAAACTTTGCTTTGGAAGTAGACGGTCGACTGTATGACTCTTTCCACTGATGAGATACGTATGCCTGGCATTCATCTGTCACGTCATAATTCCACATGTACTCTTCTGATGTCCATTTGGACCAAAAACGTACACATGTACACGCTACTGAGATTCAATTCTGTACATTTTTGGAATTTTAAATATCAAACCTCATTGCGCCTAATTGAATGGAGTTCATAAGTTCACCATGATCACCTCACTATAGCATGATTCCAAGGGAGGCCATATGATGAAGGCTCATTCGCTTACAATTCTCAGAAGTCGAATTGAGTAATTTGTGGCTAAAAAGAGAAACATTCAAACAGAAATCGATTTTATCATTTAAAGTCTTATGTGCATAGCTCACGCGCTCTGTGCTGTGGTGTGTGAACGAGAACCATTTGAAAGTCGCACATTATTTCATAGAGCGCGCGAAATGTGCACATAGGAGTTTCTTCAAATAGTAGATGTATTGCATGGGCTACTCTGTGATTTTATCCCAATCGGCGAATGTGTTCGTGCGTGTGTGTGTTTGATTATGAACCCATCCTAAACAAGATGGTGGTTGTTGATGTAACCAACCAGGGGGGAGGTTACGACTTCACATTTCTAACTCCAGTTCTGTCCGAGTTCTATTCGGTCAATTGAATGTATCGGGAACGTTTGATCTTTTTGATTAAACTTTGATTCACTTTTGTCCAAGATGAAGCAACACATGGGATGGTGATGTGGAATGCAAAACAACTGACCGTTAGAGCTGGACTCGATCAGTTCGGGAAAGGAATGAGCACGGTGGTTTGTGTGTGTGTGTGTGTGTGTGTGTGTGTGGAGAGAGAGTTTGAGGTGGTTAAGGGGAGGGTTGTTGCGATTCAACGGCCGAGGACAGTCAGGCAGGCAGGCAGGCTGTGCGACTTATAAAGAGTATGAAATAAGGCGTTTATCGATCTAACCGCCCGTGGAATTTTCAGAACAGTGTGAGCGGAAGAAGTGCTCCAACTAAAGACAAGGAACTGTTGAGGTTCGGCGGCGACAAGTCGAACTTTCAGTCGGAACATTCATAATGATGATGATGATGATGATGAAGGTGAGGATTGCACTGCCATGTGTCCCCATGTGTTGTCATCCACATATTTGGATACAATTGTTTTCCCGCGAACCACAATGATGATAGTGCGAGCAGAATGTAGCCGATTCTGATACACTATAGAACAGTTTGTCGACTGTCGTCGATGGTGGGTGGTGGAGGTCTAAATTTATGGGCCTCGTGGAAAATTGGAAATAAACGAACGGACAAATAGATTGGGAGTGTACTTGTGTGCGTTCTCAGTCCAAACTTGGGGGGAGGGGGACACGAAAATAGGGTAATGGGTGCAGAGAGTGCGAGAGCGAGAGAAACAAATTGATCGAGTGGCAGTGTACAATTTATCACGAGGAAAAATTTGAGCTCTTACAAGATGGTCACTCATTACCCACACTATGTCTCTCTCTCTTTCTGCTTACCGGTCACTGATTCAGGCAAGGCAGGTACCGAAGATATAAATCATATACACACGCACACAAATACACACGTGTACAAACAAACATGTGTATGTGTGTGTGTGTGTGAACACGTGACAGATTTTCACAAATTATCACACTTCCGCAATACACTTTTGACTTTTCGAGGCCAGAAATGGGGACAGAAAAAGAATAAGGACATGTTGGAATAAGAAGCACAATATGCGTGTGTAGTTGACTGTGGCCACCAGAACTCGGTTGTTTTTGGCCTCTTTGATGTATGGCATTCAATTAGGCACGACAGTTTTCTTCTACACGTGTTCTGTCTCGGCTGAAATAAACGACAGGTGTAGAGTTTTCATTTGTATTTTGTTTGAAAGACGAATCAATGTACAGAGGTTGGGATGATTGAATAAATTAATTGTTAATTTTTGAAGAATGAGACCACCGTGGTGCATACGGTGCACTGACAATCGACTAAATTTTTCAAGGCTATTGGTAATTATTGATCGAGTTGGGAAACTTCACTGTTATAAATGATTGGTGGAAGATATAATTCGATTACCCTGAACAGAAAGCTAGGTAGCGTTGTACAAATGTGTCAACTTGGTTGGATTTCCCTAATAGCATGAATCAGTCGATCTAATTGAGGGTCGAACTAGGAGCGTCACAGATAAAACGCAAACGTATCACCCACTCGATCATCGGGCAGTTGATCCGGTTGTTTCATGCTTGATAGAACACAACTCACATTTGCAAACTTGTCCCGGGGACCACACCTTCCAGGGGTGCTAACTCGACTGGGAACATTTCGAATCAGACTAGTACAGCCCAATAGACCCAACGTGTGTGTGTGGTGGAAGGGGGCGAGTCAGCTGTACAGTACTTCTGAGATTTTCAGTATAGTCTCTGCAAACCGCCAAGTTATTCATGTAAGTAGCATTGTCATCTAAAGATTTGATTTCTATAGACATCTCGTGCAAGTGTTGCATTGGATGCGGTAACTGTTGCCTGTAACTCATTCCCGTCCACCAATATAGGATACACTCTCAGATTATGCAGTGTTGCATTCAATCACTTCCTTACTATTATTATTATTATTATTATATTAGTGGTTGTGGCACTACATAGTTGTAGAAGTCATGAAACGATCCAACAATTGGATTTGATGTACATAATTGAAACATCTTATGTTTGTTGTCCTGAGGATAGTTAGGTCGGAAAAACATTTCCTTTAGAGCTTTTATATTGCTCAATGTCTTTTCCCATTATGTATGTTGTATTGCACCTCTTTAATTGGCTGCTTCCCCCTTCTTGAAAAGTGTACCTTTGTATGTTCAATAAAAGGAAGTAAAAATGAAAAAGAATGTCACTTATGGCTTTTATATTGGGAAATCCCTTAGTCTGGGTATACCTAATCAGAAAGAACACCGGAGTCACTAACTCACATTTTTCAATTCCAGCTGTTCTGATATTAATGCACACTGTCCAAATGGTACCAAGATATCTTAAATTTATCTCGGGGCATGTTAAATTGAAGAAGGTATGGAACGGTTGAACAAGCAATGGGTAAACACATTTGCACGATTCTCGTAGTTACCCGGTAGGTTGGCAACCCGCATGGTCAGTCCGCATCCTGTGACCGAATCACCAGATATCCAAGCTTGTCATATCGACCATGGTACCAGAGCTATGGTTTGCTCATCCTGATGGTTCGGAATTTTGTAGGCTATGTGAAATACCGGGTGCCTCTATTCACCTTTAAAATGACCTGCCTATTTATTTTTGGTCAGGAATCAAATGGCCAAGACATTGATGAATGTCTTTGTGGATTGGAAAAATCTATTCTAGTTTATTTTCATTCCTACAGTTGACCGATTGTCTCAAAATCACCTTTGTGATCTACCAAAATCAGAAAGTAGGGTAAGCGAGTTTGTCATACACAAAAATTGACGAGGAAGTTCTCCAAATGAAAAAGTATTGAAAATTAATTCTCGTAGCTCGGTTGGACTGAATTCCACTTCGCCTGTTCACCGAGCTTGGCAGTTTGTTCGCAAACGTTTCAACACTCGCCGAGGTGACATCTTCTGTGTCACTTCACAAGCACTGAAGATGTCACCTCGGCGAGTGTTGAAACAAATTGCCAAGCACGACGAACAGGAGAAAGTAAACAACCTGTCAGTAAATTAGACTGTACAGGACCAACCCGGATAGCCAAATTGATTAACCTATTGAATTGGTCACCCTCTGTGCCTGGGTTTGAATCCCGGTAGTTACTCAATACTGATGATTCCCGGAAAGGATGAACTAGGAGTGAGTACAATGCTTCGAAAGGTTTTTTTAGTAAATTACAAGTGAACTCTGGTTGATGAATTCTTCTCATTAATAATATGTTATTTTGTATCTGGTAATAAATTAAATTCTCGAAGTGACAATAGCTGTCCGTGGTTCGTCACTTTTAATTTTGTCTCAACTGTACATTTCTTAATTTTACTTTCAGATCCCGCAATCAGAAGCCAGCTGTATGAAACCATTCAATGGAATTTCACAAGAAAGTAGTATCCGAATAGCGGAAAATGCACATATCGACAGGCGGCTCAATGAAAATCCAACTTCACACGTGAAATCGGAAGGTTCCGCTTTGAGTAACCGAATGTACACGATTGATTGCATCCTCTCACCGACTGCGTCACTTGATTCATCCACTGATGTGCATACAACAACCAACTCACCGTACAGCAGTCCATCAGCATCAATATTACCCACACTAGCACCACCCCTAATTCGACCAACTAAAACGGATTTTGCAAGTAGCCCCAAAATGTCTTCACACACCTGCTTGAGTGCTTTTCCTGAGATATCCTCATTCGGCTTAACAGGATCGGGGCAAACTGTTACTGCCTCCACAGACACCAATATCACAAACACGACTAGCACTGTCCCCAGTAACACCGGTGACTACCCCAACAACTGCAACATTAACAATAGCACCAATAATACAACTAACACAGCCGCTTCGTTCGATTTCTGGTTTGCTCTATTTTTCGAACTGTGGACCCAGCGATTTCGAGAAATACAGTCCCAAATGACACAAGTGCAACCGATCGATTTTCGACTATCGGCTACTGATAATCGTCGTGGAAACTCCGACTGTGACACTTGTATCGCACCCTCGTCTATTCTCATGAATTGGCCTACAACACCTGTGATACCCGGTGGTAAAGCGGATCTATCTACCGAGTCTCGATCAAATATTTATACCACAGAACCGACCTCAGATCCGAATTTGCAATTACCCTACTCACTTCAGTCGCTCGCTTCTTTGCGTCCCATTGTGCCAGGTTTGGTTGATATCCCAGAGGCTTACTCGTTAGCATCCACACCAAACAAACCCACCATGGGTCCCGCAGTGTGCAACAATGCGTACAAGCTCACCTCAACAGACACCATTCGAAACTTCTGGAATCGAAACCAAAGTGAATCTCACACAGGATTGTCTAATACAAATATGTGGAAAGATTATCATTCGTTTTCCTCTCGAGTGAAACAATCGTCTCCATCCAATAACAGCTGGTTTTCCGAGTCCATGGTGCCCAATCTTCACGCCGAACCGCAGTCACTCAGTTTGAATACATCACAAGCGAAAGATTATTGTAGACCTTTGCACGGTGATCCAGAGCACCCTCAGGCGATTAATGCTAGTGCGCTCACCTTGATTGACCGTGCAAAAGGTTTAGCTACAACATCCGGAACGATTTCGAATGTCAAACGAAATACCACCGGATCAAACCGATCCACCGCTTTGTCGTTCACAAACCGAACAGATATTCCTCGTCCCACGAACGGCGGACGAAGAACCCGTGGCTATCGGGCACTTCCTTTCCCCATCGGAAAACGGGATGGACGAATGCATTACGAGTGCAATGTATGCCATAAAACGTTTGGTCAGTTGTCAAATTTGAAAGTTCATCTACGCACGCACACCGGGGAGAGACCGTTTCGATGCACTGTTTGTGACAAGGGATTCACTCAGTTAGCCCACTTACAAAAGCACACCTTGGTGCACACGGGTGAGAAACCGCATCAGTGTGTGGTCTGTGAAAAGCGATTTAGCAGTACAAGCAATCTCAAAACACATATGCGTTTACACAGTGGAGAAAAACCGTTCAAATGTAAACTGTGTGATGTAAAATTTAGTCAGTTTATTCACCTCAAATTGCATCGTCGATTGCACTCGTCAGATCGATCGTTTAATTGTCCAAAATGCCAACGGAAATTTACCTCGTACGGTTACTTGAGAATGCATTGGGAACGTGAGGACTGCTACTCAAAAGATCAACTTCCACCCGATCAATATTTGTGGATGGACCTTTCCAATCCGGCATTCAATAACAGCGAGTGCGATTTGAATCAATCCGGTGAATTTGCGCACACTGCCGACGCATATTGGAATGGATCGTCGGAACACCAATTATCACATTGACCACAGTCCAAAACGCCTCAAACCAATTCACAATCAACGCCCCTACACACAGTTCTTCCGTAGCCCATTCACTACCGATGGTGACAATTCATGTCGTTCGGCAATGTCCATCTGATAACGGTAGTTTTCTTGTTATTTATATTTTTCCCAACTGCACTCATTGGCCCCGTGGGACGAGCTGTGTGGTTCACATTTTGGTCCTGTTAATGATACACTGTCTTTTTCTTGGCTGTGCTCTTGTACTCAAGACTTCATACACTCAACCCAAAGGAATTTCCGCCCTCAGCACCCCCCCGCCCCACTACCTCTCACTCCGACCAACAACAGATCAGCGTAGTTTGTGAGTCCGAATCTCAATAGGACCAGTCATTTCCGGAGTCGCTTGTACATGATCCTGGGCCTGAGTTTACCATAGATTGCTATGTATTTAAGGTTTCCTTTACTGGCTGGGATCACCTTTAAACGGCGTACATATGACCATCTCTCTCTCTCCCTTTAGTTTCACCAACCTCTCATTCCTATCAGTCCCGATCCGTGGGATCACGTGTAAATACCGATGTATAACATTGGATGCGAATGTTTTGTACGTTTGTTTCCTTTTCATAAATTATGTAATGATTATCAGAGGGGATTGAGTGAATCTACCCTGTGTCTCCAGATAGAGAGGCACATGTGTGAGCAAGATCGAATTCATCCCATTGCAAATAACGTGTCCACCGGGAATCCGTTGGTAATGCTTTCGCGACTGTTCTCAATCCAATGAGAAAGCAACATGTGGCTGTACGGATTAGAATATCGTTGTGTATTACTCACACCCCCT